TTTTCCGGCCAAAAACCCTAATTCAAAATCTTTGTGATTTCGGACCGTAATATCCATAACCAGGTGTTTTCTTATGAAAACACATGATTAGGGATATTACGTGTCAGGAATTTTGGAAGATTCAAATATTAATGGCTGGCCGGAGCTTTCATCAGTAAGTTTCTGATTGTTATTTTTATTTCATTTTTATTTTTCTTTATTTCTGTTTATCTGCATGCCTGTTTTGAATTAATAGGTCTACTGTTAAGTAAATTATTTTCTGTTAATTAGTAATAGTTGTTAGAGTAAAGCATGATTAAATGTGTTTTGTTAGTTTAATTGATAATAGTTTTTGATGAATTTGAGTCTGTGTTAACTCTGCAATTCGATTTATTTGATAGTTTTTATTTTATGATGTTTTGATTTTGCGGGACTGTTTGAGTGGGAACTCTGATTTTTATATTGGTTAAATGAATTGGTTATAGCTGATAATTATAATCCTTCAAATAATTTTGGACTGGGGTTTAGTACAGGTTAGTAATTTCAGAATAAATAAAAGGGTAATTTAGGCATAGAAAAGGATAGTTTTATTAGGAATAGTAATTTTTAAAGTAGGGAAGGGATAGTATAGGAATTGTAATGGATATAGGACTTTCTAGAATAGACTTTAGTATAGTTTTCAATAAAATAGGTGTTGTTACTTGGGTAACATGTTTAAAAATAAGGGACTAAAAGCTGAAAATGAGAAGGACTAAAAAGAAAACTAAAAATCTGAAGGAAGCCTTAGGCTTTGCCTATAAAAGGCACACCCATTGCCTTGTTTAAGGAAGGTTTTTTTTGGACACCCCTGAAATTCCCAGAGCTCCCAGCCACCAAATTTCCCTTCCAAAAGCCATTTTAGTCTTCAGATTACCATTTGAAATTCAAATATACAAAAATACAAAAAAAATTAGAAAACGGAAAACCAAAAATGCTACTGTTCCATTGCAATTAGAGACTGATTTCAGTTTTTATTCATCAATTCACATTCTGTAGTTACTATTGCTGTTTGTTGAAGTGTAGAGACTCAATTCAAGTACAATCGAATCAAATTAAGCGAGAATTTGGTTAGGCTATGCACCAGTGAAGTTTCATAAGGGTTTTAAGATAACACATACACGCTCTCTCTGTTTCAAAAAAATTGTTTTAGTTTGACTTGACATAAGATTTAATAAAGAAGGGAAGACTATGACAGGTTTCGGATCACATGTTTCAAAAGTTTTTATGGCGAATATACCATAATGACATCAATTACATTGTCAGCAAGGTTGTTAAGTACATCGCGAGGTATAAATTCAAGGGAATAGCAGATTTGTGATTCGAAAAGGGAAATAAAAAGAATATAAAGGAGAATCACATTATCTTTTAACTATTTGATTCTCATCGCTCTTAATTCCATCTCGAGTTTCCATAAGTATACAAAGGGAAAAGGAAAACTTCTGAGCTTACCGAAAAGGAATGACCATTGAGATTTTCTATATCACAAAGCTTATCAAGTTTTATACGAGGTAGAACTTTATTGTAATGTTTTTTTGTTCTTTTTTTTGACTTAGTTTGGGTGTTTCTTTGGTTGTCTACGCATTGGTGTTCATTTCTATTTGGTTTGCTGCTGTGTTAAAATGGATCTGCTAGATTCCGTTTGATTTTGAACTTTTGGGACTGCTAATTCATTTCTGGTTCGAAGCTGTGTGGTTGTTGCTGTGTGAACTCCTGTTTTTGTTGCCTTACTTCACTGGTTCTCAATACCTGCCTTTGTTCCTTTTTCCAGGTACATGTGCTTAGCCCTCGAGTCTACGAAATGAAATAAATCTGCTATTTGAAGTCGATCTCTGAGCTTCTTCTGCTTATGGTTGATCTTGATGTTTCAAACATTAGTTTATTAGACATTTCATGTGGTGTAATGGACTGATACTGGACTGTTTTAATTTTGAACTTTTAATTTTATTCTCATGAACACGTGAAATAAATAGTTATCAGTTTAAATTTGGTTTGACTTGTGAATGTAGCGCAGTGTAGTGTAGTTTAGTTTGTTTCCAGCAGGTATAGAAAATAAAGCAAACGCAATAATGGTATTGGTTGTGTGAGATGTAGTAATCTAGCTACTTCGTGTCCAATTCGTAGCTTGAATTACTCAAGCTATTTCCAGGATTGTACTGCACCTGGACGTGAAAATATTTGTACAGCTAAGTGTACTTGCTCACATAATTGAACCTATAAGTTGGCACTAGGATCCTTATCCTATAGGGCTCACACGCTAGGCCCAAAATCGCCACCCTTAATAATGCTCGCACCAACGCTTTGGGCCTGGATATCGTCATTGGGTCCAGATGCTGAACAGCCCTCCTGTGAATAAATTGACCAATTACTTGGGCCGGATTCGAATTCTTGAACTGCTGAAGGCTCTACCTCACTGGTCAAACTATGAGCTAAAGGTTAAAAGATATTTGTTAATTTTGGGCCTCTCAAGCTAGGTCGCACATTTGAACTAAGAGGATGTCCTTTTGTTCAGGTGTGGACTTGAGTTTGAGGGTCCGGATTCCTTAATTAATAGTTTACTGTTATTGTTAATAAATTAACTAGGCCCTTTAGAGATAACACTACAATAGAAAATCATAGTTTTCTTTTAGGATGGCCTTTAAATAAAACATGAGACGAGCCTCGCCGCATAAAACATAAAATTGCGGGGCCCTCATTAAATACTTTATTAAAATATTTAGAAATTCGGGACATGCCATTTAGCGAATCTTCATGGTTTCCCGCAAAGTTAATAAGGCGCTAGCCACTTTAGGCACGCTTTTAATAATTTTACTTTCCTAAACTCGGGTGCGCATTTCATGCAACCCAAATCCAAATCCCAAAACGTTGAATAAGAGGTGTTTAGGATCCGGGTGCATTTCATGTGACGTGATCCAAAAACACGCTCTTAAACGGCGTTCACTTTCGTAAAAACAAAATAAACTAAAAGCGGTAAATAATCTTAAAATTGCACTATAGGTTTAAATATGTATAAAAACCAGATTTTAGCCATTTATGATAATTTAAGCGACCGTGCTAGAACCACGGAATCCGGGGGTGCCTAACACCTTCCCTCGGGTCAACAGAATTCCTTACACAGAATTTCTGGTTCGCAGACTCCAATTGGGAAGTCGAAATTTTCCTCGATTTGGGATTTAAATTAAATCGGTGACTTGGGACACCAAAAGCCAATCCTATCCCAAGTGGCGACTCTAAAAATAAATAAATGATCCCATTTCGAATAATGTCACTTTAAATGGAAAAACTCCCTTATACATTTATCCTTCGGGGTAGGTGTATAAAAAAGGAGGTGTGACAATATGTTATTTTTATTTTATTTTATTTTAGTCTCTAGGGATACTTAAGTAATGTTGTTGTATTTCTTTCTACTAAACATTGGCAATCGTAATATTATGGACTAATATTGGTGCAGCGTATAGTTAAATAATCCAACAGGAGTTGAACACACACTACAAACATGACAGAAATGTTCAACAGGAGTTGAACGAACACTATAAACCTGAAAACTATTGCATTCTCACAATCGCGGTTGCTAAATGATTGTCATGTTAAGCATTTAAACTGATATAAACTTCAGTAGATCTAAAGATACTAAAACAATAGATAATTGTATGTCATTAGCTAGTAATGCATTGGTAATTTGTTTGTAAGACTAATTTATAAAAGTTTATTGCTCCTCAAAGTGTTAACCATCAGCAAATGGCAAAATGAATATATTGCAAGCTCAGACGCCTCAATTTTCAGAGTTGAATGTCAAAGGTTAGTAGAAAAAAGAACAAAAGAATGTTATCCTAAGAGAAAGATAGAATACCTTTTTTTTATCTAGCCTAGCGTGCTGTAAACCTACAGCCAACAAGAGCCAGATCAAAGACATTCCTTGCATTCTGTTATTCACCTCTCTTCTTAGTTGCTCAACTAATGAGCTTTCACAGGAAAACACTCAAAAAAGGTTCATAGGAGAAAGTTGTTCAGAGATGCTATCCTGTTAAGCACAACAACTTCCTCCAGAAGGAGAAGATTTTGTATTTTCTTACAACTGAAAATCATCATCAATTTATCATCTTGGTCGAAGAACGGTATCTTGCAAAGCACAACCCACAGAGTGCAAAATAATACATGTCAAAAGTTACTATTTATATAGTCAATTTTAAAATATAATAATTTCCATAAAGACCACAGTAGATTGTGTATGGTACCAGTAGGCCAGAGATGACTCAAGATCCTGGTAAATACTATTTGAAAAGCATCATCATCAACAAAATAAACAACATTGCAAAATTATTTGAAGTTGTTAAGGTGAAGAATTTTCAAAGAAGAATTATTTTTTTCGAAACTGGTACCAATCAAAGAAGAATTAACTAATGATATATGTTTCATACAGAAGGATCATATTTCAAGGTGAATTATCTTGAGATTTTTTGGTCATAGCTTGTAAGACAAATCAAGATTTCCATAAAAGATATCAAATGTTGGTTTTCTCCTTAAAGTTCTACTACAGAAATTGCTCCTAAAACTTCTAATACAGGAAATCTCATTACCTTAGAAGTTAATGATAATAGCACCTAGAGTACAAAATGGAAGACTGCTATAACGCTCGATATTTCACAAAAAATGACATAAAAGGAACCATGTTGTTGTAATATACTCTTTACGTATGGAATAGCCACGTAAAACAATGACCATGATGCAACCTCAATTAGCATATTACCAGTAAATGGGAAGTAACAAATTCTGCGTCTCCAACTCCTATATGCTCACATATCATGCCCGGCAATAAGAACTAATTAATTAGGACAAACTGAAAAATACTTTTGTAGTTACATAAACATAGGGGAAAGAGAGTTTCAAATTGTGGAGAAAAAAAAAGGCACACAGCTCTCTGTTAACAATATATTTTAAAACATCATCACACATAAAAATACTTAATATAGGAAAATGGTGGTAGATAATGAAGATCAGATTACCTGTATTAGAGGAAGGGACTTTCGTCAATATTGGTTCTCTTGCACAAGTATTACTTGAGCAGATTATCACTTAACTGTATATAGTGTCTTGAAGGGGAATTCAGAACAAAGTAATAAACAAATATGGTGGTAGCTATCTATTATTTTGATTCTTCGTATAGTCGCAGCAATGGAATGCAACAGCTTCTCTAACTTCATGCTTGACATTTGGAGCCCGTGATTGCATGCAATTGCTGTTATAGCCAATCCCAATAATCCACCAGCAACAACTTGCATTCCGGATGCATCACAACTTTCTGTAAAATTCCAAGCCTCAGCCCATGAAGACTTCTAAGCAGTAAGTAACACATGCTGCACACACTTGAGTAGAAAACATAGGCATAGAGATCTAATGCTGCACACACTTGAGTAAAATTCTTTTTTGTCCGGGGGGGGGGGGGGTCTGGGGTAGGGGGAGGAATTGGGGTGGGTGGTGGCAGGAAAATGAAAAAACAGGAAAT